ATATCATAGTCCCTCGGACCGTTCTTCGTGTCATACTTCGAGACCCTATTTTCAAAGTAGCTTGTTATGATCTTAAGAAGGTATTCTGGTACATTCTTTTCTTGGAGGGCCTGCATGATGCATTCCCAATTGGCGGAGTTGAATGCGTTTCTGATGTCTAGGGTCGCCACCAGGCAATACTCTTTCGTTCCACCCTTCCATCTGGTTCCTGCGATTGCTTCCTTGGCCGTATCAACAACCAGTTTGATTGCGTCCAGGGTTGATCGTCCTTTCCGGAATCCATACTGATTGTCTGCCAGGAGTGGGTCGACTACTGCATTTATTCGTTGATGAATTATGCGCTCAAATATCTTACCCGCCTATAGAGTAAAATATGTGTGTGTGTGTGTGTGTGTGTGTGTGTGTAGTATGTAGTATGTAGTATGTATGTATGTATGTGACCCAGGGTCACTGACCCTCTTATAACTTTTGAACGGCTTGACCGATTTCATTGCGGTTGGTGCCATTTGAAAGGGCTTTACCAAACTTAGATTTTGAGCATAATTTGGACCGATTCGGATCAGTAGATTTTGAGAAATCTTAAAAAAACTAAAAAAAAAATGTTTTCAAATGTGATTTTTTTTGGATAACTTATAAACGACTCCACCGATCGATTCCAAAAACTAATCAGCTCTAGATAATAAAAAACCACGTCGATCGCCACCAAGCTGGTCGAAATCGGTTGATTCGTTCGAGAGATATCGTGAACGAAAGAAAATCGAAAAAAAGTGTTATTTCGGAATTACTCCGAAATTTTTGGTTTGATCAATTCAAATCTAAAAATACTTTATAAGGCTTATAAGACTGCGTCGAATGCCGCCAACCGCGTGAAAATCGGTTGATCCATTCAAAAGTTATTGCGGTTTAAAAATTCCAAAAATAGTGTTTTATGAAACTTCTATCAGACTTTTGAGCTCGAAGAGCTCAATTGCATAGAAATACTATCTCTTTGAGCTCAGCGAGCTCAAAATATTACATAAATTATATTTTGAGCTCAAAAATCTCAAAAACGTCATAAGTGCAATTTTAAGCGCCCAGGTATGGAATTAGCGGGAAGTTGCAGGGATGGCCTTCAGGGTCAACCGTTTTCTTAATTTTTTGTTATTGTTTTGACGACGCATTTAAAACAAAAATCACAAATAACTTTAATAAAATTTATCCAAATAAGTGCAGGGATTTCTACTATTTTCTTTTGTACTCCACATATGTAAACAATTTTAAAAAAGAAAAAAATACTTTCAAGCAGGACAAAGTTAGCATTGATAATCCAGCATCGACCGACATTATTAATAATTCCTCGGAATCTAATGAAGTAAAAAAATTCTAATTACAAACAACTATTTAGCAACAAATTTAACACCACAATTAAATTTTGTTGCTTGCATAATGATCAAGATACTGATGGTCAATGCTAGCTTTACAGACGTAAAATTTTATGTCAACTGTTACAATTTTTACGAAAGCTTTTTTTTTTAAAAAAAAAAAAATTGAAAAGTTGACATTTTTAATTTTTTTTTTTAATTATTTCATTTTTCATGGTATTGGATAAAAATAAGTAAGTGTCGGAAAAAAATTTAATCGTTGATTTTTTGGTCAAAATAATGTGGTCACCACTTTCAAAGAATCGCCAAGCCTGATGTTAACTAATAAAATATAAATAATAAAATTTACTTCGAAAAATCACTGCTTTTTTCAATGATGTGTTCAAATTCAGCAAAGCTTAAAGCACCATCATCGTCAAGATCAGCTTCATCTAATAGATATTGAAGCAGACGCTGCATGTCATTTTCACTCAATCTTTGTGGAGCTGTTAATCTATCAATTACTTGTCGTAAATCACCCATTCCTAGCATATCATCTCCATCAAAGTCTAGAAGTTTCAGAAAAAATAATAATAATAATAATAAAATTGTGAAGTTAAACTGAAATTACAGAATCTATTTTATATTTACCAAAAATACGAAAGGCATGCTCTGCTTTGACTGCTTTTGGAGCAGCATCACTAAATACTGACATCATATCTAAAAAATCTTCAAAAGTGCAATCGCCATCTTGGCTTGAGCTGAAAACTTTACAAATTCGGTCGCCAAATGGATTTACACGTAATTCAGAATATCTGAGAATTTTTGACATAGGTAACTTCGCGTTTCTATTGTGACCAACTTTTTCCGGTGCAAGAGCCTTGAATTTTTGATGAGCACTTGAAGCAAATTTCATTAAAATTTAGTTGTTATTTAAAAAAAAAAAAATTATAATAACAGAATACTTACTATAAAACTTCCTTTTTCGTAAAATATGTCAGATCCTAGAAACAAAGAAGACTCCATTTAGGAAAAATATTTAAGATATAAGTCGAATTATTATATTAATCATAAATAAAATTTCTTATTATCTGAGATAATATTGTAATAGCTAGAAAAAAAATAAATAAATAAATCAGACCAATTTATTAAATTCCCGAACGATAATAGAAATTATATAAGATGAAAATGTCTCTATTTTGTACTTGAGTTGTATAAATTACTTTCATTTTTTGTTTTTTTAGAATTTTAGAACCTACTTAAACTTTCTCACACTTAAAATATAAATAATTAATATGAATTCACCTGATAATCTTGTAATTCTTCTTCAGAAAATTGACTATTACTTGCTCCCATGTTTTTTTAACTATATTTGATCCTGAATAATGTCAACCTTATTATCTTGACTAAACAATATCGAAGTTAAAGTTAAAGTGTCATAGCTTTGTTACGTATATTCTTATTTAATTATGGCTTAAATATTTGGTCAATTGTTTTTATTTTATGTTATGACACATGTAAAATGATTTATAGAGCACTTGACAACAACATGACATTATCTGACAATCTGACACTGAGAATCTCCCTCCTACTCCGTTCTATTCGAAGTTTTCTTTTTATGTAAATTTAACACTGTATAAATTAATACTTTTGCGGTAATATAGTTGGCACGAAGCTATAGTGTGTTGGTGAATCCCTTTCCCCACACCCAGGGGCACCAACGAGCGCTCCGACATTTTTTTTACCCGGGAAAATTCAAATTAAGAATGAAAAATTATAAAAAAAAAACACAATTATACTTAAATACCGATCTACTGTATAAATAGACTGTTGAAATATCAGTATTTGAAGACAAAAAGATACTTTTATATTCAGACTCCGATATCTCGGCAAAAAATAGTCCTATCAGAGTTTAAAAAAAAGCGCCATTCGGCCATACCCGACATGGATAGTATGGATGGGGTCATCTGAATGATCCGAACGGAAATGTAGCCAATGTAATAATTGTAAAGAAATTCAAAAAGTAACTTGCTCTCTAACAAGTTATATACATTTAATACTTCATACATAACACTTAATGTATGTCAAATAATAGTAAATTCTATATAATAAAATACACACATTAAAACATTTAGATATCATATTTATGAAAAAAATTAAACTGTAACCCATGAAACATTACAAAAGAACGACAATTGATCTGTCTTCCAAGTCTTCTAAGTTATAAGTAAGAAATTAGTTGTCGGTAAGGTAAATTTTTTTAGGTAACTGGCGGTGAAGGAAATTTAAATTATATAATCTAAATTCAAAAACAACCTTTTTATTCTAAATAAGAATAATTATTCTTGAAAATATTTATTGTTTTTATTTATTAAAATATACAAATATTGATTACTAAAATAAAACAAAAAATCGCTTAGCTTATTTAATGGGAAATTATTTATTTGTCTTTATAAAGTAATTTATTGTTAATTATATAAAATATTAAAATCAAACAGTTTTTTATTTTTTTCAACTTAAACTATTATTTATTTATAAACTTTCTCAAAATTTATCGATATTAAAAGAACAAAAACATCTTTTTTTTTTAATTTTCTAATATTTTTGAACTTACTTATTATATCTGATATTCCTATATTTTTTTAACTTTAATCTAAATTTAAACGAATTATATTTAAATGAATAATTTTTTCTTCTTATGTTATTCTAATTACATAGATATAAAAAATAATTGTTTGTTTTATAATATTCATATGACAAGAACGTAATTATTGATAAATGTTAAGAAGGTGTATAAATAAATAATAGTTTAAGCTGAAACAAGTTAAAGAACAATTTGTTTTTAATATTTTATAGAATTAAAAAAAAAAAAAATTACTTTATAAACAAAAATAAATAATTTCCCATTAAATAAGCGATTTTTTGTTTAATTTTAGTAATCAATATTTATATATTTTAATAAATAAAAACAATAAATATTTTCAAGAAGAATTATTCTTATTTAGAATAAAAAAGTTGTGTTTGAATTTAGATTATATAATTTAATTTTCCTCCACCGCCAGTTACCTAAAAAAATTTACCTTACCAACAACTAATTTCTTACTTATGACTTAGAAGACAGATCAATTGTCGTTCTTTTGTAATGTTACAGTTCATGGGTTACAGTTTAATTTTTTTCACAAATATGATATTTAAATGTTTTAATGTGTGTATTTTATCATATAGAATTTACTATTATCCAGTTATCTGTTTATCTGTTCGGTCGTGCGCTTGCGTTCTATTTTTCGTATCTGAATAAAAATACCGCGAATCATTTGAATCTAAATTTAAAGCACAGTTTGTTGAATTGAAGTCTATATAATGTAAGAACTTGGTATATGTGCTTTTATTTTAAGTCAGTAATATGACATTTTTTACTTATTTCTTCTTAAAAATCAAATAAGCGTTATAAGGCGTGCACGTTTGAATTTTCCAAGGGTTTTTTTTTTCTTTAAAAAATAAATCAAGTAAGTACATGTGATAACGTTGATTAGGTCGTCCCAATACTAACAAACTATGAATTTATTTTATTATTTCTTAAGTATGTTACGCCATCTACCAAGAGGAATGTATATTTATGTCATTGGTTATAGTAAAACGGAGAGTTAAAGTAGTTATACAGTAACACATTTATCTCCAATCATTGCAATATTTATTTGATTTTTCATCATTACAAAATTTAAGGAGTCATGAAAAATGATTAGTTAATTTATTGTTTTCCCTAAAATTTTGTAATACATACTGCTTTGTTTTTTATGAGACATATCAACTAATAGCAAAATATTTTGCATTTTACTATCTCCTGAATATATGGAGGGTAGAGGTACCTTTACCCTCTATACCTGAATATCACTCATATTTAAATTAAGGATTCGATACCAATTTTCAAAATGATACCAATATTTTGAAATTTTTTTTGTTAAAAAATTTATAAATAAATCTATATTATTAATTTTCACTCTGTTAATATTTTTATAGTTATTTATTCTTTTTTTTTAAATTCACTAAAGTGACAAAACGCTCCAAAAAATTTTACAGTGTTTTATCACTTACGATCAGCTGACAACCATCCTATATATGTACCTACCAAGATGTATGTATTTATGCAGATGTATCAATAATCATATAGATATGTTCAGAGAAATATTTTTGACAAGATATAGCTGTATATTATATGCAACGTACTCAAATAAAACATCATAAAAAGTAAATCAGTTAATAACAAATAATGGAAATATATAAAAAGTAATGAGTATTTTTAAATCTTCACAATGAAACTACTCTGTAAAATTAACCGGAAGTTTTTCCATTTGAACACCACATAATACCACGTCAGTTATTTCATGTTGTATAGTAGTGAGTGATTCAGTTAATTTGTACATTGGGTATTTAAATGTAGATAAATTTTTTATAACCGCCTTTTTATTTAATCATTTTTTTATTAGGCTATTATAAAATTAAATTATAATAAAAAATGACTATATATGCACTGTGTAGACACTAGGTTATATATATTTTTAACATGACTTTTTGGTCAAAAAGATGAGGCTTCATCACAACAATTGGATTATTTTCATCATCTTTATAGCAAATAAGTAAGTACTATACCTATCTATTTTATTATATTATTTATTTTTCTATGGATTTCATAATAAATATTTTTATTGTTTTTTAAAGTAGAAAATTCAATTTTGAGGTTATATTGATTAATTTATTTCAGTGGTTTCTTGTTCAATAACGTAGCCACTAAAGATACTCCAAATCCACTAATTGAAAATGATCACGGTTATGGGATAGTCAAAAATGTTTCTTCAAGTGACACTGGCCATAGTAAACGAGAAACATTAGAATCTTTCCTAATTTCTAAAATTGAACTACCTGCTCATGACAAGACTGATGAAAAACAACATAACTTTGTGGTACTGATGGTTTGCTTATATTAAATGCTAATTTCTAAGATTATAAACCATTTTATATCACATTATAATCTCATTTCAGCAGTGGTTTCAGCCTCAACTTTTTTTTTTTTTATAAAGTTGTATCATCAGTAATCACTAGATTTATTTTCTGAATTACTGAAACGAATCATCACTAGTATGCTTTTAAAATCTCATGATACTGAAATAACCAGACATCTGATCATTAGTATTTTAATTGCAAATGAATTATTTGTAAGAAGCTTTATAAAAAATTCAATAATTTACAGATAAATTTTGACCAGTAATTATTTGTCATTCAATGATTAATTTATTATCTTCGTAAAAAGTTTTTTAGTCTCAATTTTTATTATATATATTGACTTTGATTGATTTATTTGTCGAGGTAAAACTTTTTGTTAATTTTTATAATAATTTTTAGAACATGAAAAGAGTATAAATTTAATACTTCAATTATAATTACTAATTAACTTTTGTCTAAGTTTGAAAAATAACTTATAAATTTTTTAATTATTCTTAACATTTCTGTTTGCGGTGCTTGATGAAGTCCTGAAAAGCGTTGTACAAAAATAATGAATGAATCATTGAATTACATAATTACTATCCAAAATTTATCTGTAAGCTATTGAATCAATTAATAGAAATCGGCATGAATCAACTAGCTTTATAAAAAGTTGTACATATAGAATTTTTAAAAAACTGCAAATGTAAACTTTTTCAAATAATTTTTTTTTACTACAAAAATCTCAATAATTGTCAGGTGTGTGCAGACTTCAGTAGCACATAATTTCATCATCGTGAGAGGAAAATTATTTGAATTATTATTTTAGCAAACTAAAATTCAATAAAACAGATTACTTTTTGAATAATATTAGAATCAACCGATATCTAACCATTTTTTGGTTTAATTAGAAAAATAATTTTCTTTATTAAAAAAAAAAATTTATTTCATCGGTAATAAATTTTATACTTGTGCACTAATGAAGAAACTAACTTTTTTTTACTTAAATTTTTATCAAACTCTCTTCACAATAAGTGTAAATTATTGATAAGGAATTAAATTGACTGACAAAGTGCGTTTTGTTAACTCTGACACTAATGTAAATTTATTTTTTATAGGACAATAATAATCTCAATAAAGCTGATGATGCTTTTCGAAATGACGAAACTACTCAGACGAAAAATTTAGATATCAAAGAGAGTTTGACTCAACAGCCAAACTTATCTCAAGGGTAAGTTTATTTTTTTTTGCTCTTCTTGGCTTTATACAATCAATTTTAACAAAATCTAGTAGTATTTGAAAGTAAATTGCACTAAAAAATTGGTTTAATAGATATACGATCATTACAATCGTAATTCCACTAATACATCTAACTCGCAAATTTTTTTGTAACTTGATCTTTGGATATCTATGTATATGGGGTATTCCATGCCTAATCAACCACTTTTGAACTAGACCGCTTTAGATGTAGCTGAAACTTTATCATTATTTTCTACCCTATGAAAAACATTTTTGAGAATTTTTTCAAATTATTTCATCCAACCCAAAAAAAGTTATGAATTTCCCGAAAAAATGACTTTTTTATTTTCAAATAGCCATAACTTTTTTAGACATTGACCTTTGGGTACCTTTTTTTTTTTTTAATTTTTGTTTTTGAATGGACTTTTCGAAAAAATACACAAAAAAAAATTAAATATCAATTCTATCAAATAATCGGTTTTTTTGAGCAAAATCGGTATTTTTTCAAAGTTGGTCATTTTTTTTTTTCTCAAAAAAAACTTCAATCAATTTGACAACTATTCCTGCTCATCCCGGGCAAGGCCGATTTTTTAAATATTTTATTTATTTAATTGAAAAAAAAAAAAAATTTTTTTATTTTAGAAAATTTGACAATTTTTTTCCAATTAAATAAAAAAAATCTAAAAAAATTCGGCCCTGCCCGGGATGAGCGGGAATAATTGTCAAATTGATTGAAGTTTTTTTTTGAGAAAAAAAAATAAAAAAAAAAAGTGACCAACTTTAAAAAAATAACGATTTTGCCCAAAAAAACCGATTATTTTATAGAATTGATCATATTTAATTTTTTTTGTGTATTTTTTCGAAAAGTTCATTCAAAAACAAAAATTTAAAAAAAAAAAGGTACCCAAAAGTCAATGTCTAAAAAAGTGATAGCTATGTGAAATAAAAAATTCATTTTTTTTTTGAAATTCATAACTTTTTTTGGGTTGGATGAAAAAATTTGAAAAGATGTTTTTCAAAGGGTAGTAAAGAATGATAAAGTTTCAGCAAAATCTAAAGGGGTCGAGTTCAAAAGTGGTCGATTTGGCATGGAATATCCCATATATACGTAGATAAAAAAGCTTTTTCCCCCAAATAGTTTTATATTTAATATTACCTGTGGCATATTTCACGCTTTTTATTCCTTAAAAAAATCTTACTTATCTTGAGTATAATAGGAATTGAATTATAGGATATTTATGAATCGTATAAAAATAACAAAACGCAAATAAAGAGTAATATAAAATGTATTTAAAAAAACAGTTACATTAATTTATTATACTATGGTAAAAGGAGATAAATATAAAATATTCGATGTGTGTTACAATATAATACTACTCATTTAGCTTATTATTACATCGTCTTCATATTTATAAGTAAAATATGTTTCAAAAACGAAAATAACAGATGATAAAATTGAAAAAATTCCGCTGGCTAGTATTTGTTTCAAATATCGTTCGTGATATCTTGAGATATAATTATTCTGAAAATTTTCATGATCATAAATAAGAATAATTCCAGCGGTGAAAGACATAATCGCGCCCAATGCAGAAAAACAAAGTGCCTGAAAAATATTTTTTATTATTTCATCAAAATATACTATCCCAAAAAATTTAGGAAAAAAAGTTTTTTAATTATTCAGATATACTTCTAAATGCTAAAAATATCTCGACTAAAGTGTTTAAATTCAAATCTCTTTTTATAGTAATCAAATGTTTTAGAAATAAAAGCAAAAATTACAAGCAATAAAATGGTAAAAGTTTTTAGTTTGTTTTTTCATATTTCTTACAGTTTTTTTATTCAGTTTTTCTCCTAATAGATAGCAAAGTATCAAAATTGCATTAATCATAATATAACCACAAATTCCAACATAAATCACTCCAGCATGATTCAAATTTGATTGCATTCGATCGTTGTACGGATCAACAATTAATCCCACGGAAATTACACAACAAAGCTAAAAAATTTGTATAATAATGATAATATCAACTTTTATTGGGTATAATTCTATAGCAACTTACTAGTTCAATAATTTTGCAGAAGAAGGGAGTTTCTCTAAGATATCCTTTTAATCTTGAAGTGATGTTTGGTGTGCTTTCTTTTTCATCAGCCATGTTTTTAATTGTAGAAAATATTTGTTGTACAGTTGTAAATATTGTCTTATTTGATATTCTTCTACTAAAAAAACGAAAAATGACTGTCATAAGTAGCACGTAAATGATTTTTTAAAGTATAACTTACCTAATTTATCACTTCAATATTATTAAAAATTAATTCAAAATATATTTTCTATATTCTTAAATTTCTGTCATAAATAAAAATTAATTGATGGTACAGAATTTAAAGCTTGATGTAGTAAACCTAACCGACCAGAAGTCAACTAATCAGACGGCACCGAGAACTGTCATGACTCCCCTCTTTCTTTTTTTGAATCAAGCAACGCCTAAGTGTACTTAATTTGTAATTCCTATAATTTCTCACATTCGACCTTACGAATTGAACTGACCATGGTTAATAATCTGTTAAGAAGGTATTAAGATAATAGCGCAATTCTCATCAAAATAACGTAACTTGACGCGCAAAAACGGATTGAGTTTTTTTTTTTTTTATTTTTAACTTAAAAAGTATGTAATAACTTTATAGACAAAAATTTTCAAAATAGCATGCTTTTATATGCTAATTTGTGAATATTCTAATTAGTTCTTTAAAAAAAAAAGAACAGTTCACTGTTGAATCACGTCAAATTGTTTTAATTATTTAAATCCTTAATTATTCTTTCAATATTGAAACTCGATCTAGCTTTGTATTTTGCCGATATAAATATCAAATAAAATTTTAATATACATGCGATAGTCTCATTTAGAAAGAAAAATATCTTACTTCAAGAAAATAAAATTTTTTGGAAGAAATAATTTATTACCGGGGTCGTGGATATTATATAAAGATGAGTGTTAATGGAGTTTTCTAATGTTCTTAAACAATGTACCGACAATTTAAATCTATGAATAATAAAAACAATAAAATTTTTATGACAACTTCAGATGCTTACATTGAAAATTATATCACAGTTATGATGATAATTTAGAGAGGATGAATGTCATAAAAGTTTCACGCCTTCGTCACTACACCTACATTCACTGAGACGATTTCTCATCAACATTTGTGTTAATTTTCGAGTTCACGGAGGTTACATTTGCTATAAAACTGATCTTCTTATCAAATGCTATTTTTAAATTCAATCAAGTTATCTGAAATCCAATAGAAAAAATAGAAAATCAAAAATCAAAAGAAGCTATTAAATTGTCCGTCTTTTAAAAAATCAAAAATACTTGCAAGTACAAAAATCTTATTCAATTTAGATTTCCTTAAAATTCGTACCAGTTTGATCTGGTAGGTGTTGAGATATCTTGAAAATACAAATTAAAAAAAAATTTTTTTTTCTTAATCTCTTAAACTATTGTACTGATTAAAAAAAATTCGAGAGATATAGTTGATAATTTTTTACAAAATACAGTGTTTCCTCTCTAAGACGCCACAATTACTTTTCAGGAAATTGAAATAATTAACTCGAATTTCTTTAGAAAATAATCAAATTTCTTATACTTTGAAATCGAATTCTTACAACTTTTATAACTCTCTTATAAAAATTAATTGTATAAAGAATTGATATAACTGAATATTTTTCTATTTTTAGCATTTCTGAACCTGACCAAGATGTAGTATTGACGCTTATTGACACAGCTTCGACAGAGCTTCATAGTATAGCTGAACCTCATCTTTCATCGAATCACGGGCAAGCATCAACAAACAACTTTTCTCAATCTATAGTGTCTTCAGACTTTGAATCTTCCGTTGAAGATCCAGAAAAATTGAAAATTTCAACTGGCTCACCTGTTAATTTAATCGTAGATGATAATATTATTAATTTTGATGAATCTTTATCGACAGAACAATCAACAGAATTTCAAAATGATGAAATCCAGAGCCAGTTTTTACAAGATCACAAGAATTTACCAAATGATAGTGAGAAAATAAGAAAAACTACCGAAGAACTTTCTGCTTCTGGAGAACTTGAAGAAAGTACTACTCAAACGACGCTTCTTCCAAGAAGCTCTGAAGAATCCGGTACAGCGAGTTTAGATAGTTTCGTCGGATCAGATGATTCTGAAAATCATGAAGATATTCCATCATACAATGAATGGACTCAGAAAAAAATGGAAGAAGACGAAAAGAAAAAAACTCATCCAAACATATCAATACAAAATCTTGGCACACCAAATCGTAGTGTTGGAAGTATGAAAGTTAGGTCTAAAAATTATGCATCACTTGATTGTGGTGCTAAAGTAGCTGGTTCTAATAGTGGAGCACAAGGCGCACGAAATGTTTTAGTATCTACAAGAGACGAATATATGCTTAATCCTTGTACTTCCAAAGTTTGGTTTGTAGTTGAACTTTGTGAGGCTATTCAAGCGAAAAAAATAGAGCTTGCCAACTTTGAACTTTTTAGTTCATCACCAAAAAATTTTTCAGTGTTTATAAGTAAAAACCCAACAAAAGACTGGAGTCCTGTAGGACAATTCATTGCTAAAGATGAAAGAGATATTCAATCATTTTATCTTCAGCCTCAGCTTTTTGGAAAATTTATTAAAGTTGAACTACACTCTCATTACGGTAGTGAACATTTTTGTCCAATTTCATTGTTCAGGGCCTATGGAATTAGTGAATTTGAAGTATTAGAAACAGAGACAGAAACAAAAGATATTTATTACGATGATGAAAAACTTGATGATGATGAAGATGAAGAGGATAGTGAAGATGATGATATGATCAACAGTGATGATGGGGAGATTTATAATGTTATTAATAATAACAATAATAATGAAAATATTATCAATAATCATGATGGTAATGAATCCAAAAATCTTTTTGGAAGTGCACGGGATGCTGTTATTAGTATAGTAAAAAAAGCTGCTGAAGTTTTAGTAAAAACAGAAAATTTCTCTGTAAATAATAATAATACAAAAACTCAAACTGATATCGTAAATGACATTGATGATACGTTTATAGATTGTATAACACCAAGGTACACAATTTTGTGTAACAATTGTACAGAAAACTATTTTGATAAAGTATTTGAACTTATTAGTTGTCGATTTAAATATCTTGATTCGATTCTTAAAATAACTTTAATCAATCAAGCTATATCCGAAACTGAGGTATGTGGATTCAATGGAGTGAATTTCAATTTTAATCGAGATGATTCAATTGTAAAAAAGAAGACTAAGAATTTTAATGTTTCTAAAAGTCGATCTACTTCGTTGCTAATATCAATTTTTAAGCCTGAATATATTGTTGCTCTGTGTAATATTTTTGCGATAAACGAGCAAAAACTTCCTTTGAATTCTACTTTTGTTATCTCAAATAATTTATCGATAAACACTGTTACACCCGAAATAGCTTCTTTGTCATCAGAATCATTAACCAGCGTGCATAAAATTTCAAATTTATGTACTTTAGATTCTACAAACTGTAAATCGATTATAACTCACTCAAAAGAACCTCAATGTCATTCGCAAGGGCCATTTATAAAAGATGATATTTTTACAACAGACATTAAAAATTCTAAAGTCGTCAACCCGTCAGGAACAATAGCCGTCAACGAAAAAGAAATTTTGCTAATTACACCTACTAAAACTTTGATTGATGATAATACTGAAAAAAAGTCTCCAGTTATAATCCTAGAACCAAGCAAAAGTCTTGCAGAAGAAACTGTACAATCAGAAACTATAATTTCTACTCCATTAACAAATTCTGATGTTGGAACGTCGAAAGTTTTTGAAGAGCTATCGTTAACAGATACATCAATTGAATCGGCATCACAGACCCTTAGTTCATCAGTTGTGAAAAATCATGAGAATAATTACAAGTCAATCACAGCAAACAATGATAAAGAAAATATAATAATTAATAGTAAAAGTATAACTAAAATTTCAGAAGAAAAAGATGATAAGTCAAAAGAAAGAGATCAAGATGATATAAAATTAACTCCTCAAGAACAACTTAGTCTAGACACTCTTCTTTTGGATTTAAAAGCTTTAGAAAATGATCCTTCGATTCAAGGATCTACTGCATCCACTGTAATTCAACCAGTAGCTAGCTCAACTCCTCAACAAAAGGAATCTGTTTTCTTAAGATTGTCAAATAGAATTAAGACTTTAGAACGAAATATGTCGTTATCAGCCCAATATTTAGAAGAGTTAAGTCGTCGTTATAAAAAACAGGTTGAAGAAATGCAACGATCACTTGAACGGGCTACTACTACGATAGGCGAAGAATTAAAAAAAAATGAAGAAAAAGAATTGAAACGTTTAGAAGAAATTACTCTTCTTCGAGAAGAAATTTTGAGTTTAACTGAATCTGTAGAAACGCTTTTATATGATAAAAGTAGTTGGAAGAATAAACTATTAATTTTTGGGCAACATATTGTTTTAATTTTTGTTGAAATCACTATTCTTATTATAATTATAATACTTTGCCGAAAACCAAGTGATATAAAAGATGTTACAATTAAAAAAAATGATTTAAATAAAGGGATAACAAGAAGAAAAAGTGCTGAATTAATAACAACAGGTTCTACTAATAAAAAATGTAGAAGACCAAGTGAAATTGTTTCGCGTATTAAAGGTAGCTATCGAGACCTGATGATTGATGAACGGTTGGATACAAGGAAAGAACGAAAAAAGAAAAGAAGAAGAGATTCTGCAATAAGATCATCGTCCAATATCGAAATTAACAAAAATGCTATACCAAAAACAGTTCTCCCAAAACAATCCTTATCAATAAATTGTTCTAATTTCGAAAATTCGGATGATCATCAAATAAAAACAGTTGATATGTCATCAGATACTGATGGCACTCCATTAAAAAATCAACTGTCAATTAATAATAGTGATAGTTCAGTGAGTAATATATTAAAAAATCGGATAGTTGTAGATGAAATTGACAGTACATCTTTAGGCAAAATTGTAAATAATTCTGTTGGTAGTCAAGATTCGCCTGGTATTTATAGCGATTTCGAACATGAAAATACGAAAAATTCCTCAAGAGGCTTAAGAATTTTAAAAACAGCTAAATTTCATTCTCCGTATTTCATGAAAACAGCTTTTCAATCTCGAAGTAAAAAAGATAAATTAGAACATCATCATAATTTGCAGTCTGTTCAATTAATATCTGATAATTGGGAAAAATATTCTCGAACTTCGGGAAGCTCGAGGTCAGGTCAGGATAGTCCATCAAGTTTGAGTGCATTTTCGGATTTGTTATCTGTTAATTTAAATAATTACAATGTCAATGGAGACTCTGCTAAAAATAATGGAAGTAATATCACAAGCTCTTCTGTTAATGGTCACATAACACCGACTTCTGATGTTAAAATAAAAAAAGAAGGAAGTCTGAGAAAAATAGTTAAAAAATTATTTTGATTAATTAACAGTTACGCGATTCAATAAATTAACAAGTGAAATCATTTGGATTTTAAGTACTTACAACAAATATTTGTAAATAATGTACAAATTTATTACGTGTACGGATATTGCATGAATTAACCAACAGAATTAAAAATTAAATTTTGACTTGGTAAGTAAAAAAATAAAGTCAACTTACAAATTATGAGAAAAAATTTTTTGATTTTGGAAAAGCTTAGAAAGTTTTATTTATCTTGTATTTTTGAAAATGACGAAAAACTCCTGTAAAAGATTCAGTTCTCAATACCACTATTATTAACAGCTATTTCACCTTAATTTTATATTTATTTAGATAAAATGAAAAAAATTACACTAGTCAGATTTTTTGTATATTTCAAAATATCTACATTTTATTTACTTAAGTAACGATTTATTTTTAACTAATTAATTAGCATAACTATCAAAATAAAATTCATCCCATATTGCGAAAAATATTATTTCATTACAATTTTTCGTAATAAAATTTGATGAAAACTTTATTTTTAGTTTTTTCTGAAATTTTCATGCATCAAATAACTTTTTATTTCATATATATTAATATTAATACAAAAACTGAATTTTGACAAGCATCTAGATAATTTTTTTCTGCAAAAAGATTCATACAGAAAAGTTCCATAAGTTTTATTTGAAACTTAATTTGAAATGAAAAATAAAATTTAATTCATACATTTTACACAAAAAATCTCAAACCTTTAATACTCAAAGAGTTTTTTTTGCAATTCAATTCCTATTGAATAGCGATTTTTTTTCCTGAACAATAGTAAATATTTTTAGAGTATTGAATTTTTTATGAATGCCTTGTTTGTAACCCAACTGAATTTCCTGAACAGTTACATACGTAATTGAGACTTTATTTAATTATTTATTTAATAAAAAATATTAATTTATAAGTTTTACAATACATGAGTCTTAATTTTTGAATATCTATTAATAAAAAACAAGTAGATTTTGTACAAAATATTACCAAATTTGTTGACATATTAGTAAGTGATTACAAAAAAAAGTTTTTGTTTACATTAATATAAAACATGAAAAATTTGTAGAGACTACTAAGTAACTGATTTAACATTAATATCTTATCACCGTTTCTTGCCTATAATTATAAATAAGAACTCACTGTATATTTCTTATATTACATCAATTATAGCGCTTTCGATGTCAGATAGGGATTAAAAAAAATATTCTTTCAATAAGTAGATTTAATTTTTTATTTTTTATAAAAGTTATCGGTAATTTGATTTATATAAAAAAAATCTTATAATTTAAACATAGTATAGAATCAGTAACTTATAATCAGTAAGGAAAAAGAGAGGCATCAAATTCAAATTATAATAGTTATAAGTGAAAACAAAAACCAGTCAACAAAAATTTTTTTCATAATTATTTCCAAATAAACTATAATCTTGTGTTTAAATTTACTAAATATATATGTAAATAAAATATTTGAGTGCAACCTATTTTTGAGTGCAAAAATCGAAAAATTGATCTTTTAAAATATTTTTTTAGTCAAATTGTTCTTCTCGGCGGATTTACCATAAAAATGATAAAAAGTATGAAAATTCAATATTTTTGTGATTTTTTTTTCATTTGAAGTTCAAAAATGAACGATTTTAGGTGTTTTTCAATGAAATGGTGACGATGCTATTTTTTCTGGTTATTGAAATATTTTTTTTCTTAAAGAGCGATAAAAATCGAATAAATTAGAAATAAAAAATTCAGAATATTGAAATATGAAAATTTTTGAAATCGTAAATTTTTTAACTTCAAATGAAAAAAAATCACCAAAATATTTAATTTTCATAATTTTTATCATTTTTATCATAAATCCGCCGTGAAGAAAAATTAAAAAAAAAAAATATTTAAAAAGATCAATTTGTCGATTTTTTATTTTATTTAAATTTTATCTAAAATAGGTGGAGCCCCTATTTCTGCATAATTACCAATATTATTTATGAGAAAAAATTTTTTTTGACTTGAAAAAATATTTACTTTACTTAAGATTATTGTCATGGTCAATATTTTCAAAAATCGAAAAAATTTTTCGTTTGAGATTTTTAGGTAGATTTCTTTAGAAATCTATCTATTGTAGCCGGTCTCATATCGTAATTTTTATAAAATTTTGTCATAATATGTTCCATTTCATCAAGTAATATCGAAAAATGGCATTGGCTCAAAAGTTTATGGATGTATTTATGTATGTATATATGTGATATAACGCGCCATGTCAGCAGGATTGCGCCCACAGTTCTCAACCGATCGTCATGAAATTTTGTGAGCTTATTCTGTGGATCAATACCAAGATCAAGTTCGAAGATGAGCAAAATCGGCCGGTTAGTTTACGAGTTGTGGGTGTTTAAAAATTTTTTTCATTTTCAAAAAATTTTGAATCTCGTAGATTTTATGAAAATAATTTTCCAGATTCAAAAGATAGATAAAATCTATCAGATTTATCTTAAACTTCATTTAATTACCTTCAATATAAACTATCATTTGTCTAGTTTTAATGATTTTTTTAATTAATTTCGTGACTTTGAATATTTTCAAAAATTTTTCAATAAACGTGTTTCGGCCCTTCTTTTCAAATAATTTTTAGGTCGTAAAAGATAGCTTGAATCTATTAAATTTATGTTAAAATTTACATAATTATCTTTAATTTGAGCTATTATTCGTCGCCTTTTGATCTATTTTTCAATTTATTTCGTAGTTGGGAAAATTAAAAAAAATCTAGAATAAATGAATTTTTAGCTTTTATTATCAAATAACTTTCATCTGTTACAAATCCTATTTTTTTAGGTAGATATCTTTAAATATCTATTTATTGTAGTCGGTCTCATATCGTTATTTGCAAAATTATGATAAAAAATACTTTTTAGGATATTATTGCCTTTTAATAACGTGTTTTTTTTAATATTCAAACGAGAAATCTACCTATTCATGTCGGGTATGGCCGAATGGCGCTTTTTTTTCTTCTGTGCATTCATTAATACTCATTTATTTCCACAAAAATTTAACATTTTTAAATCGTATTTATGGAATGTAGAATGCCAATTTATGTACTTACTTATTTTTCTAAGCATCCTAAAATCAGAGGATTTTATTGCAGGTACACGTGAAACTTTTGAAAATATTGTAACAGAAAATCTATCCCTTGAATGGACAAAATTAACATCTATAAAGCTACACATCTTATAACAGATTTCTTACTTAAGTCTAAATGATTTATAAAGTTAATTGTTTTGAATACATTTCAAGTGGTATAATATTTTATGTAAATTTGCAACTTATTTGTGGCATTTTTATATTTATTTATAATTATAATTATAATAGCAAAATTACAAAAGGTTTTTCATTCTAAAATGATATAAAATAATTACATAGATTAGATAGGAATAAATTGACTTATCGATACTGTAAATTTAATGATTATAAAAATGTTTACCAAAGAAAAAATTTTAATTGAAATATTTGGAATCAACTTGATTAATTGTATATTTCCTCGCGTAGGTACCAACATCTTTGTTGATAATTGTTTTACATATTTTTGGGTCAATCATCTGGTTTTATGCTTTTTTGAAGTATCAAATAGTGAAGAATTAATTTCTTTAGTTTGTTGTAATAACTGAAATTTCAAACTTTTCTTTCTAAGTATCTTCGAACGAAAACAAAAAGTAGTTATTATTATTATTATAGAATACAAAAAAGATAAAAATTCAGATAATTAGAAAGTACTCATATCAAAATTAGGAACTTAAAATATATTTAGTAAATTTTTATTTATTAAGTGTTGAACGTAGTTTTATTCAATAACGAGAAATCAAGTGTCTAAATTTTTAATTTATATTTTTATTTATATAATTTATGTTATTGCGTTTGAATACAATAAAATTTTAATTTTTTACAAAATGTTGTTAAATATCTTGCTACATGTAAAAAAAAATTAAGATATACTGGAGTCACTGGTAATTGTGTAAAATAAATTTTTAGCTTTTTTCAGCCATAAAAAATCGAAAAGTGAAATTTACATTATTACCCAATTTTTTTAATAATTCGAACAATAATGGTACTGATGAATTATTTGTTTTGACGTAACATTTTTCTGCTTTCGACGCTCAACATGAAAAAAAAATATAGATTAATGGTGAAAAATTAGTGCGTCACTTTCTTTTTCGTGATCAAAAATCGAAATTTTAGTAATTTTTCTAAAATGGGGTAAGTTTGCCCTATATTTGGTTATAAATATCGAATATTTTTTTCTATTTTACGACGGAGATACAAATAATTAAAAGTGACAAAAATCAATTTTTCAATTAATTTCATTAATATCAAAGCTTTTATTATTCACAAAACTTTTACATCAACGGACTATCGTTAAAAAAATATATCCATATAAATCTACCGATTTCTAGAATTTTTTTGTATTCTATGCGTAAAAACAAATACAAAAAAAAAATTGTAAAATATTAATTTTTCGATTTTTAAAATTATTTTTCAAAAAAATTATTCTCTGATAAACCTTGATAAATAAATATATGATTTTTTTAAAAGAATTCTAAATATAATTTTTAAGGGTTGAATTATCGTTAACCCGTACTCTAAATAATTATCAAGATTTTAATTATAAAGCTGTTAAATAATGAAAATTAAGTTAGCCGACATCTAAAAGTTTTTAGAATTTTTCTTTTATTGAAAAAATTATTACAAAAAAATAAAAAAAAAATTTCATTCGTAAAAAACTTGAAAAACTATAAGTGCAATTTTTAAAAAATATTTTTTAGTTCTAATTTAGCAAATGAAAAATATTCAAAAAATTAAAAACGTCGACTTACTTTGGTGACATGTTAAATACTATAATTAAAAAAAAAAAAAATTATTCGTTAATTTTTCGATTTTTTATCAGAAAGTAGTTAGGCCATCTTCATATAATTACGTTTGATATTTTAATTTTTCGAATATAATAATAGTTTTATAGAAAAATTATTCTATAGAGTTATTTTGTAGTATATTATAATTCATAATATACTGTATATTGTCATATATTACAATACATTGTTTGGTTTTGAAGAATGAAATTTAATTAATTTATTGAACCTATTAAATAACTAATAAAATTTCTAATTGATTATCTTGAATTGTAGAAGTCAATAAATTTTTTAATAATATCAATATAAAACTAAATACAAATAAAAACAAATACTGTGATATATCGCCATAGAATGAAGTTCGTAGAGGCGATGATGAAGAAATCTTATAATTGATGACTAATGAAAAAAAAAAGCAATCGAAGCTTGACCTCTTTACCAAACTAAATTAGAATTAAGGGTCACTTTTTCAATCCCGAATTCTCATTTAACCAAAGTTAAGAAAGTATTCAATTATTACTGTTGCTATATTCATAAATTCTGGTTGAATGGAAACTCCGGGTTGAGAAACTGGCCCTAAAAGAAAAAAAAGTCTTGAAATAATTGTTTTCCTACCGTTGTTTTTACATTGAATCCTCGCTATAAAACAATTGAAGTTTGCAATATATAAAAACAATTTCCAGATAATAGTATACTTTATAGCGAAGTTTGATCTGAGAATTCGTTAGAGAAAACCTTCCAGACAAGTCTTGAGAGGAAGAGTCTTGTAACGTTTAATCTTATATAAAGATGTAGGAATGTAATTGAAAAAAAAAAAAGTGAATAAGTTGGTAAATTTATTCTGTAAGATTTTATAGTAAAATGTAATATTTCAATAATTATATAATCATAACTTAACATGCATTTATAGATTAATATATAATTAGATAGTTTTAAATAAAAATACTTCTTGTTAAGGCAGAATAATATAAATTATAATTAAAAGTAAGAATCAAATTGATCATTTGATATAATCATTGCTAAATTAGAATAATTTTATTTTTTTCATTTTATTGCCATTGCTTAGCACTTGTTGTGATAGTTTTATTTTGATTTTGTTTTGTTAGTCGTAATGAGTTATTAAAAAATTCTAAAGAGGTATGAATTACATAAAATTTTATTCATGTAATATAAAATTTTAAGTAGTGAATTTTATTAGTTAAGTTGAATGTATTTTATTAAAGAGAAAGAAAAATACCTATACTTAGAATACGTCAAAAATTATAAGAAAATTTTTTAAGATCTAATATATACTATACCTTTGATTTGCTTCTTAATTTTTCTATTAATAATTACATTTTTTCATTAAGAAAATTGAATAATTTGTAAATATAAATATTCAAGGTTTATAAGAAATTTTTAGTAATCCGTAGATAAGAAAAATTGGATTTAAAATATCTACATAATATTGTACTAATAATGTATATTTATCATATTCATCGGCTTTTATGTTATTTATTTGTGACTGAAAAAAGTATGCGATGATATTATTAATTTATGTATAATAAATTGATATAAAAAGTATTGAATTGTTCTTTATTTATTTTTTATTCACCTATATCAAAAACTTATTATTCAATATAATATTAAAATTTTTTTTATATCTTATTTTAATATGTACAAAAAATCTATTCAAATTTAATTATTACAATTAAACATAACATCTTAGAAATTAACGGCTAATCCAGTATCATTGCATTTTTTTGATATTTCAACTCAACAATGTTTTGGTTAAACTGAACAATTTTTTTGTTTAAAAATTTTTTTATAAATATATATTCTACGTCTAAATGAGATTTATTATCAATTTAGAGTGTAAACTTTTTTCTCATAAGGAAAATTTAAAGAAATTTAAGAAATGTTAGTTACTGCATTTTAAAATAGGACAGCCGATTAGATTTAATGATTTATCACTAGTAAAAAGAAAATTAAACATGAAATATTATTCAAAAGATTGGAACATTTAAATTAATTTATTTATATTTTTACGTCGTTATGTAACGTTAAAATTGGTGTCGATGTGAATATAATTTATTCTTGATCCTATCTTTCTAATATAATATTAAACATTGAACAGATACTTACGATTTCCAGCATACTAGTTGTCAAGTATGAATGTAATCATATGAATTAATATGAAGAAATTAATGTTTCGATTACTAGAGATAATGAGAAATTTTCATTTATAGTACTTGACCAAGATATCATTAGATGAGACTAAATTGGCAAGAAAAAACACCTTAATTAATAAACATAAAATAATAGTCGAGAAACATTAAAAATTATGATTTAATATTTACTTCTAACTGACATGTTAAAATTTGTGATGGTAAAAAAGTGATATTTCAATTCTGAAAAAAAATTCTTATTATTTTCGAACAATTTATTTGAAACGTATAAAGATAAAAATATTTTAACAATTCGTAAATCAAATTGGTTTTTCTTTTGTTTAATGTTAACAAACAAGCATCTATTTAATTTTAAAGTTGATATCAAATAAATTATACTAACTATTATAATTCGACTGTTAAATGTTGAAGAAATTCTGAAGTTTCGGTATCATTTTTTATGGACAATTTATTTTTTTCTAAACTTTGCTTGAAGTTTTCTTTAGAATCATTCCATATTTTCTTCCACTCATCAGGAGTTTTCTTCGTTATTGTACAGTATAAAATTTCGTTAATAATATCTTTTATCTTAACTGATGTAATCGAAGAAAAGACATTTTTCAAGTCATTCATAATTTCTGGTCGTAAATTTTTATCGCGACATACTAAACTCAATATGAAGAAACCATTTTTATTGAGACACTTTGATACTGAAGATAGAACTGAAGGTTTCAGAAATTCTATAGGTGGACAGCTTATTCCTAATAATTTATCGTTAGTGCTTACATCAAATAGTATAGCATCAAATTTTTTTCCACTTTCTGCAGCTTCTTCTAAATATTTTATTCCATCACAGATTTCAACTTTAGATCTATTGTCGGTAATAAAACTAAAATATTCTTGGGCTATTTTCAATATTGTTTTGTCTATTTCGATAGCAGTTACTTTAGACTGAAAAAGTCAAATGATTATAGCATTTATTATTTTCATTAAATATAAATTAAAATATGATATTAGTTATTCTATATCTTACCTGTGGAAAACATCGATAAAGAAACATACAGAGACCACCACCGCCTAATCCAACAACGAGGATTTCTTTTGAGTTATTTTTATTACTATTATTTCCAATCATAGCCTGCACTCCGATCGACATAAATGCATGATGCTCACATGCTAAATACCCATGTTCAATTATATCTTTTTTCTTCCCCCGTCTAGTTTTAATTGATTTAACCATGGCATCACTTTGTATGACAAATTGATTCTTAAGAAATATAAGCCTTCGGAACTTTATATCCTGATCATTACTAAATACATCTTCAATACTAATACGCCCGTTGATTTCACTTTCTTCTTCATGAAGGGTTTCACATTTCCCAACATCTGGTCCGAGCGATAAATAAGCGATTGAAAAATTTGGTGGAAGTCCAGGTGGAGCTAAATTTTTTACTGAATAATTTAATTCTTCTTTTACTTGATCCCAATTTTTGAAAGTGTGATTTCTTCCAAGAATTACGATTGCTATTCGATCTTTTTCCATAAGCTCAGCAAATTCTTTTCTACCCTCTTTTGTACCAAAAAGCCAGTCACTATCTCTAATAAATCAACAAAACATTGTTTTATCAAACATTATTGTTTAGATGTATAATCGACAAATGATTTTTTTAATCTTGTCCTTTTTCACAACGGATTTATTAATCTTTCATCAAAAATTTACAAAATTATATATTTGTAATTTTTTTCATAATTTCAAAAAAAAAAAAAAATGCATGTTTATCTCGTTCTTTATTGAAAATTTCTAAACATCAATTCGTAGAGTACCATATTATTTTCTTTCTCAAAAAGTATGAATACTTAACAAAAAAAAAGTGTCATGATATTTAATGATTTTTGAAAAATTTGTAATTTGATATTTGATCGACAATTTGAAAGTGGTGCATTTTTTTTTTTTTACTTTTGAATTTAGAAATTCATTTTTTATAATTTTTTAAATTTTATCCATAGATATACGGTGATAAAGAACAAAATGAGAAAAAAAAAAAGCATAAATGAATCAATTTTTTACGGCTGAAAAATAATAGAGCCACACATCTAAAGAATTACTTAAAAATTCTTAGTTAATAATGAATAATTACCTTCCTTGGGGTACTAAAAAAACTGCATATGATTTTCCGTTACTTCTGGGTCGATCAAGTACGTGAATAATATACCTTGGTTTATCATTTTCAGGTTCAAATAAGTCAAGCGTTATTTCTCCTACGTCAGCAATACTTCTTTTTTGAAGTCTGTTACATACGATATTTGATTGCTGAACTGCTAAAACTGCATTTATCAGTTCTTCAGTACTTGAAACTTTAGATATGTGATCTCCAGTCAAAGCTAACTCTAAGATCTGAAAATTGAAAATTTATTTAAATAAGAAATAACTTAATAATTTAAATATTTCATATTGCAGATACTTATATAAAGATAGTTATAAAGTTGAACTAAAGTAAAACCTTGACTAATTGAAAATTTCTAATAAAATAAATAATAGAATGAACTTTTTTTTTATTTAAATCTTAAAGAATAGAAACAATTAAATAAAATCAAAATTATGATATTCTGCCTTTGTTTACTCTAAAAATTGATTTCTAAGATTTTACCTGCTGAGATAGTCCTGGAAATTTGGTTGCCATAACAATAAAAACAGGGAATGAACTGCCATCTTCTTCTTGCGCTTTGATTTCAGCATCTTGACATCGTGTGATACGAAACATAAAATACGAAGATGCGAAATAAGAAATTAGTTTCCTTAAAATATGTTCTTGTAACAATGAAATGCATATGTATCTTCCTCCTCTTCGTAGAACTCGGGAAATTTCCTGCATAAATAAAAAAAAAACATTTTAGTAAATTTATTTGAAAGTAGACCCAAAAAGTAGACTGTAGCTCATTTTCAACATTTCTTATATTCAAGTTTTGAGCTTTTAATTTCAGCAGCTTTTTAGTTTTAAAAACAATAATGAGGAAAATTTTTTTAAAAGGCTTACGAATTTTAATAATTTTTTTTCAATGATTTTCTTTTCAAGTTACAAAGCTACAAAGTTATTATTAACTTTGGTGATAAATAATTAAAAATAATCTAAAATAAAAAAATTTGATAAGTATTCATAGTCGTCAAAATAATAAAAATTTATGATGTTGAAATTAGCAAATACCTGACAATTTTGTTGCTTTGTTCAGAAATAAATTAGTACTTACGGAACATTTTGGAAGAAATGCCACCATAGTTGTTTTTATAATTTCAATAAAAGAACATTTTTTTATCGTCTTTATTATAATTTATTTATTAATTAATAAAAAAATTTTTTTTTAATTGTCAGATGTCTGATAACTTCAGTTTTATTTAAATTAGTTGTTTTTGCAAAATTAATTTAAAAATGATTATTTCACTTTTTTATGTTTAAAAGACTAGTATATACTATTATATATTATATATAATATTATATTATCGATTGACATCAGCAATTTTCAACTGTAACTTTAATTTATGAAATTGAAAAGTTTTGTGTTTATATTAGACGCCAATTAACGATACTTACGTTAAAATACTTATCAATTTTAGAGGAAGTTTCTTCGTCATTATTTGACATTAAAGCATCCAATGTTCCTTTATCGATTACGACACTGAATGTGTCATTGGAGTAAGTCATTTCTATAGCATCCATTCTTTCAAAGACCAGATCGGGACGCTTCAATTTATTTTGTTCTTTCATCTGATCAATTACGACTTTAGAAATATCGATACTTTTGATACTCCTGAAAAAGATAACGTGGTGAATTTTGAAGATTAGAAAATTCTAGAATTATTGATACAATATGTAGTAAGATTACAATATAACTTTACTCTTTCAATATATTATTATGAATATTAAATAGTCACTATAATTTGGATATAAATTTGTATTTATATTTCAGCTAAATTAACATGATAATTTGAAAATGATGTATCAGATATTTTTCCTTTAAGCAAAATATATATAAATTCAGAAATAAAATTTCAACGTGACATAAATTTTATATATTTTTCTTTTTTAATTAATCATGCTTATACGTTTCGGAAAAATCAGTATATTATGTTACTGAAAATAATAGATATTTGATAACTTTAGGAAATATTTAAACGAATAATTATCATAAAGAGCCGTTAACCAAATCCACAAGTAACGTTAACGTTAAAAAATATGGATGTAACTTAAAAATGTTAAAAAAATATGGATGTACTTTATGTATATTGCCGATTGGCGTCAGTATAAATAAATAAATAAATAAATAAACTATTATTAATTAATTTTCATAGAAATAAATAATTCTTTAAATACAATATAACTAATACAACATATTACTAATGTGTCACTATAAAATAAAAAATATATTGTAATTTTAACTTAACTAGAGTTCAGAAATTTTCAACTTTTTGCCAAGAAAAAATTTTATTTTTTTTATAATTACCTATATCCAACATCGTATAAATCCATACTTAGTTTTGAATTTCCACATCCAACAACTAAGATTTCGTCTTTTATTTTAACATATTTTGACAACTGTCCACATAGTTGAGGATATTCTCCGTACCTTAAAAATTAAAAAAACGTCAATATCTAACTTAAAAACCATAATTAAAAGCTGAATATTTAAAAATATTATACTTACCATTCAAAAGTTTTTTTTCCACGTTTTTTAAAAAATGAATTCCAGTAATCTTCTTTACTAAACTCTTCATGACACTTTGGTAGCAAATTCATATTCAAGTGTTATAAAAAATATCAATATTACTTTTAATTACTTTGATTCATTTAAACTATTTTCGTTAAATAAATACTACTGTTATTGTTTATATAGCTTTGAAATATCACACGCGAAAGTTAGGTTATAGGGCATGGGTGTGTTCGGTGAATCCTTTGCAATTGTGCATGTCGAGGTATACATTGATAGATGGCAGCATTAAAGTATTCAAAAATTTCAAACTGAAATAATAAAATTGACGTTAAGGACCAGTTTTTCCATCCAGGATAAAAATATAATAATTATTGCCAGTATATTGATATACTTACATGAAATATATAGATATATTTCGTCATTGAATAAAATTTTATTCTGAATTAAAAAACTGGCCCTAAATAATTATATGAGTGAAGCCAATTTATTCGTAACTTAGTTGGTCGAAATGTATCATAAGCATGAAAATGATATGTATTTCGAAATGCAGATCTGCATTAACGATAACATGCAGGTCTATCAAGCCAGCATAGGCTTGTCCATCATGCATTGACTCATTATTCAAGCAAAAAATTTATTTGTGGTATTTAATTTGTTGCTTTTCTGTTGCTTATTAGATAAACATTCAGTTTGCCTACTAAAAATTGGTTTTGCTACTACTAGCTTGCCGAGACGCTATAATATAAGAAATGATCGACATCTTCCAAATGTTAAAGAATAAAAAATTTCGATTGTTTTGAGTGGAATTTTGACTTAATCTTCAATTATTTATTTGACTCAATCTTCTTTAATTATTTATCGAAACATTAAATTAAATTAGTGCCATACTTTAATTTCAATTAAAATAACATAACAGTACTTCAATGTATATATGTACTTCAACAAGTACAGAAAACATAAATATAATTAGTTCGTTTATAACAGAAGTAAAATCTATTCAACAAATAAGGAATTTCATTAAAATTTTTAATCAAATAAAAATTTTAAATTCAAAATTACGAGAAAATATTAAAGATCGTCAAGCCCAGCTTAATGTCATAATAGATTTTACTACTGCTATAGGATATGGTACTGAAGAAGAAAAAGAAAATGACAATGGCGAATAAAAATAAAGACTTACTGACAACTGACATTAGGACACTGGAACGCAAATGGACAGAGCTCAAAAATTTCATTTTCACTCATAACATAGATGTAATGCTAGTAAATGAGACTAAACTAACAAAAAAGAAACTCAGCAGTATTATTATGAGAGGTTTTACACACACACACACACTCGTGGGAATAGTCAGGAAAGTTTCCTAGGTCCTCAAAACGTCGAGATCTGATGAAAATTCAATTTTCGAAAAACGGGATAAAACCAATAACTTTCCGATTTTCGAAAATTTTCAATTTTCTTAGCGGGAAATTTAAAATCAACATAATTTTCAAAAATTTGTATCCCATAATTGGTTGGTCAAAAAAATTTGAAAAAAATCATTATTGATACCTTTTCTAAAAAGTGAAAAAACCGTTATTTAAGAAATTGATTAAAAATAATCTCACACGTTAAACACCTGCAAGAGATAATATTTATAATAATTCGAATTTTGTATTCAATTTTATTTTCAAACATTAATTAATAAAGTATTGTTGATGGAAATAACGAAAAAATTATATGATAGATTAAATATGATATTAGAATAAATTATATTAATCGGCAAGCCAGACAAAAACAGAATAACGCCACCTTTTATTTTTCTTGTGTGGTTCTACTATTTTAATCAGCTGATTCTCCCAGTTTGCTATCATATAAATAGTCATAGTCATACATTTATTATTATATGTCGGAGACGTCGGAGTTATTGTGTGACTTCGTCATCGAAATCAATGGACTTGCTACAAAGTTAATTATAGCCGTTTACAATTAGCAGTCTACATTTATATAAAATAAACAAGACAGTATGTTATGATACGATGTATTACATATAAGTTATAAGACAGTTTAAATATTGTGCATTATTGAGTTAATGTTATCGTCATTAAGCGAAAATATAACTTCTGTAATATATGTTTACAATTATATGAACTAATGGCAGACAATGAAATAGTAGAAGTTAATCCCCGAAGGTCAGTTATATTTTAATTACTTAATCTCTAATCATTTATAAGTACCAATTCCGTTTTTTTTGGTTAAGTAAGTTTAAGCATATATTTTTCAAAGTCAATTATGTTACGTGTAAATTTAAACCATATTCCGGTATTAAACGCAATTATTTAATTCCTTTACTTTTTTTTTACTATTATTCTATTTTGAAACTTGGCAGTTCGCGAATAACAAGGAAATATTGCACCATTTGACGTAAAGTATCTAGAAAGAATTATACTGTAATTGTTTTTACTGTTGACAAGTGATGAAAAATAAATTATTTGCTGAACGAATAATTGTAAGTAAACTATTTATGCAAGTTCATTCTATCAATGAACTCCAATTGCGCATAAACATTTTTTCATCATCTTAAGATTCAACAACAAGATTAAGCGTCAAAAAAATCTTATTGTCTGTGATTACAAAGTTAATCAAAGCTCAACATAATATTAATTTTCAAATATTATTTAAAAAACAAAAAAAAAAATTATTAAATCATGAAACAATGTAATAAAAATAAAAATTGTAATATCTATCTACAACGTTTTCATTACTTTTATTTTTCAATCAAGAATTGATAAATATTCTTTATCTTAAAAAACATTTCTTAACAAGCGAGATAAAATATAAGTTTTCTTTGTTTCAGATCTATTCAATTTTTAACTCGTCAGAACTCACGTGAATTTTAGTGTCTCACTTGCACTACAGCGCCACTCTATAAGTCGGATGTTGTTGCGTGAGCAAAATGCTCATAACGTGAGTGCTGACGGGTTAAAAAAGGAGAATTTTTTTTAATTATTCTAGGAAACTGTTTGAACTGTTCGATTTCAGTTGAAACAACTATTCAAATTAAATAATTATTCTAAAATGAATTTTCCATCACTTATTAAAATTACATCATCTCTAAGTAAAGGCAATTTTTGCGATAATCGAAAAATATCATTGAATTACGTTCATTAAAGTTTGAAATTTTTAGTTATGTTCTTTAACATAAATCTCAATTTACGTAACTCATTCTATGAATTTTATTATTTAAAAATTATATTCGTTTAAAACTAACTAATAAACAATGAACCAATTTTTTTCTAATATTAATTTCTAATTATTTTATTTCATGGATGCTGACAATTGATTTAAATATTTTCAGTTGGATTTGGGATTGGTTCAGCTGGTCAGGAAATTCTGCAACAATGCTGAGAACAGCTGAAAAAAAAATACTTTCACGTAATCAAATTTTATTTAATAATAAATTACTTCAAATTCAAATAAAATAAAATAAAATAGTCGTTGTTGATAAAAGTAAATACCTAAACTCGTAATTTATGCATTCCTATTTTCGAAAAAAATATTGATTCTAATTTACATTTTTTTTTTTTATTTTTTTTACTAAATTTCTTTTTAAAAATACTTTTAAATCATATGGATTCATCTTAATAATAAAGAAAAATGAGATAAAAAAAATTGTAAATACTATGCTGCATTAAAACACTAAAACAAAAAATTTTTCCTTTCAGATTTAAAAAGTGCTTACCGAGGACTGTACGTCGACATTGGTGCTAGTGTTGGTACAGCAGATAAAATTTGGACGATTTCACTCAATGAACAATCTCCTAAAACCCCTATTGTACTTCTTCATGGATTAGGAGCTGGAGTAGCGCTATGGTGCCTTAATCTTGATAGCCTTTCACAAGATAGACCAGTTTATGCGATAGATCTTTTAGGTATATTCATAATTACTTTATTAAATTTTATTAAATATTGTATCAGATCAACATACGATCAAATTTAATTGTAAAACCTCAATGTGATGCATGAATAAAATTCTTCATTTTAAATAGATAATCAACATGACTTCAATTATAAAAATCGCAAATTTACATATGGCTATTGAGTATATACGTTCTGTTCATGATCAGTGGTAGACAGGCCATTGAAAAAGTGTAAAAAAAAATAGAAGCTAAGATAAATGATAAAGTTCATGTAATGATGTTACTAACGTTACAAACAATTATTGCATTTTCATTTGGAATTTATATTTATTATCTATTTAAAATAAAAAATTAAAATCATATTTTACTAATGGGTTACACAATAAAGTCCAATTTATACCCAGAGAAGCGGACGTGTATCAGCTAATATTAATATAAATTAGAACTTTATTTTTAATTCTTATTTTCATTTTATAGGATTCGGAAGAAGTAGTCGACCAAATTTTAGTAACGAGGCGCTAAAAGCTGAAACTCAACTAGTACGCTCAGTTGAAGAATGGAGAAGAGAAATGGAGTTAGATAAATTTGATTTATTAGGACATTCTATGGGTGGTTTCCTCGCTGCCTCGTATGCAATACAATATCCAAATCGAGTACAACATCTTATTCTTGCTGATCCTTGGGGATTTCCAAAAAAACCAACCGATGCACACACAAGATACAATATACCTTTTTGGGTAAAAGCTATTGCGTTTATGGTGCAACCTCTCAATCCTTTGTGGGCAGTGCGATTTGCTGGTCCTTTTGGTAAATTTTTATTACTAAATTTTCTACCATAAATTAAATACCCTAGCTTTATTTAATAACTTTTTTTTTTTCATTAAATTTTAAGGTCAGTGGCTTATAGAAACTACACGGCCAGACATTGTAAAAAAATATGTTCCAGTTCTTAAAGATGACGCAAATTCAATTTTCCAATATCTTCATCAGTGTAACACTCAAACACCCTCGTAGGTGAATTTTAATTCTTTTAATCTTGTTTCGTTTGAATATTTTTCTGTGAAAAATTATTTTATGTTAACTAACTATAGCGGTGAAAGTGCATTTCATGCAATGATGGAAGGTTTCGGTTGGGCAAAAAATCCTATGATCGAACGAATTCATCTAATAGATGATGAAGTACCGATAACAATGATTTATGGTAGTCGATCTTGGGTAGACAATTCTGCAGGAGAAGCAATTAGACAAAAGCGAGAAAAGTCTTATGTTAATATTCAGGTAAAAATAACATTCATAACTCAACTTTATAATTCATAATTTTAAGCAGATGAACAATGAAATTTTCGATAATCGTGTGGAAGCAGGATCCACAATATTTTTATCTGTAATAATCATATTTTAATTTTTTTTCAAACAGTCACATATTTGTTGGTTGAAAGTTTGTTAAAAATAGAACAATTTTTTTTTAATTTTGAAAAAATTATTTCAAAAAATAAAAAAAACGGACTTTTTTTTTTTTTAATTGTTTTTTTATACGTAAATCACGAAAAAATAAACTAGAAATCGGTAGACATCTTTGGACACGTTTTAGTAATGATTTTCTGTTGACATAAAACTTTTTAATATTAAAAGCTCTAAAAGTAATTGAAAAATTTATTTTTACAATTTTCCATGATTATCACTTTCAATCATTTTACGTTTGTTGAAGAAAGTTAAAAATTTCAATAGTAAAGCTTTTTTATACTAAAAAATACAGTCCACCTTTTTATTCTACAGCTATTTGAATATATATATATATAAATTTTCTTACCAATAAATTGCAATCCACATTCATTTATTATCACTAGGAAATTGACCGCTCTTCTGTTAAAATGGTTATTATCGACAATTTAATTAATTTTTACAAATTTTATTCATTAATATTTAACCGTTGCCAAAGTGGTTACCATAGCAACGAAAAGCGACAACGATGAAAATGTCACATCAACTTTTTAATAAAGAATACTTTATTTTCAAAAAATAAATGAAATAATTTTTGACAGGTCATATCAGGTGCTGGTCATCATGTTTACGCCGATAAAAGTGAAATTTTCAACAAACATGTTCTTGAAGCGTGTGAGTTGAGTGACAACATACCTAAACTCACATCACAACATGTCAAACAATCTGCAAAAATTTTTCCTCGAAAACTTGCTCCATTACCAATTGACTCCACAGATTCAAAATCCGAAAATGAAGATGACAGTCAGAATGAAACATTGCCAGGTCAAACATCAACTAATTTTGAACCTAAGACAATTCGCCCGAAAACGACCTAACAAACAAAAAATTTATATTTTTTTTTATAGAATCAATTTTTTTTTTTATTAATTAATATTAAGCTAACCAATATTGATCAAAATAATTATAATTATATTATGTTATTTGTATATTATTATTATTATTATTTATTCTCTTATCAAACGAAAATTGAATAAGGATTTTTCGTTTTTTAAATAACGTAATTGATTATACAAAGTAATGAATAAATCTAATTTGTTTACAAATCAGTTCACACACATGTTACTTTTACAAATTAATAAGACTTTAAATTAATTAAATACCATGCATAGTATTAGTTATTGCACTTTGTTCTTAACATTGAACTATTCGAACTTATTTTTAATTCATTTATACTTTACAAAAATGTTTTGTAAAAAGGAAATTAAACAAATATGGTCTGTTGATTGAATTTTATAGTTTCCATATTTCTCAATTAAACAATTAAATCATTTTAAGAACTTTTAGACGACTTTATAGAGGAATTTATCTATGATGACACTAAAAAGATAGAACATTTGGAGAGAAAACAATGTTTCTTTTATTCACATTCAATAATTTAAAATAAAAATAAAAATGAGCATCATCATCATAATTATTAATGGGGGAAAAAACAAGTAATGCATAAGAAATAGGAACTTACGCATTTAATGTAATTCTTTTTCACTGGTATCATCGAATCTATCAAAATTGAAGTATTCATTATCATCAACTTGATCCTCTTCTGTATTTTCGTGAAAATCAATATCATCTTCATTATAAGGATCCAAATTTAATTTTTTTGAGCGTTTTTCTTCAACACGTCTTTTTATTAAGAAATCATTAAAAGCTTGAATTTCTTCCTCTGTTCGTATTGTTTGAATACTTGATGGATTAAATGTATATACTTTTTCGGGTCTATCGGTTGTTACATTTTCTAGCCTATTCTTTATTGCGTCTTTACTTTTATTTAGTGATTGCTTTATCTAAACAATAAAAATGAATAAATATTGCCTTTAATTCACATTTTATATAATAAAAAGCTCCATTGTCGCAAAGTATACTTAAATTATTATTGAAATAATGAGGATTTCATCATAGATTAAAATACGTTTACGTGAAAATTTTTAAATTCGAAAATCAAAAGATGTTGAACCATTCAATAAAAGAAATTAAAGTAATAACAAGAAGCATCAAATAAACAAGTTAATATAAAGATTGCACCACATAAAATACAACATACATATACATTACTCACGAAAATTAAGGAAGTAAAAAAAAATCCAATTTTTTGGGGGGTTTTTTAACAGGCTGTAACTTGAAGAAAAATGGTCGTACAGCAAATAAAAAAAAAAAAGCAAATTATAGCTCTAAGTGTCTAGTTTTTGGATCTGAGTTTTAAAATTTTTTTTTAAGTAATCTCAAGAAAACCACCGAGAAAAAAATTTTCGAAATTTTTTTGGTTTTTCTTTTTAGTCTGTGAACTTGGAAAAAATTTTTTCAACTTAACCTCTATATGGACCAGATAACTTATTTATTCAGCTTCAATTGGTTTTTTTGAAAACCTTGATACGAGCATTTCTCGCTGAGATATCGGTGTTTGAATAGAAAAGGATAATTTTGTCTATGATTATCAATATCTCAGCAACCAATAATCGCGCAGAAAATTCAAGATGGTTTCGAAAACTTAAATAAATTTTTTACAAGGATTAGCTATTAGTTTTTTGAAAAAAAAAATTTTTTTCAATCATTACATGAATTTGAAATAACAACCAACAAAGGGGAAAGGGCTTTTCGTAATTTTTTGGAAAATCAAGCACCTAATCAAAAATATAGCGAAAACTACTGATGTAAAGTTTGAAAATTTTTTTTTTTTTTTTGTTAAATTTAGCAAGTCACTGATGCAAAATTGAGAGAAAAATGAAAAAAAAAATTTGGATTTTTTTCTTGCTCCCTTAATTTTTCTGAGAAGTGTACTTTTGGATAAAGTTTAGATCAAAATGTCCCAAAATTTATTTTGAAAAAATTCTTGAAAATAATCTATTTAAATTTCATGTTTACAAAATTGGACCTTCGAATCTTGATAATAAAAACTAAATCAATACTTGCCTGAGTCATGATAATTCCTTGATTTAAGCCGAGTACATCAGATCGCATCGGTGGTAAGTCTACATCATACATTTCGTCATAACGGATTTCATCGCCAACATTTTCTTCATAACTATTTACATAAGAACTATCAATATTCAAGATTTTTTCACGAACTTCATCAGATAATTTGGTAAATAATGACAATTCAGGCGTAGGAGCTGTACGTACAGTTCGTACATAATCTTCACCATAGTCAGCATTCTCAAATACTTTTTCAAGCTGAGCCATAACTGTCCGTTGTTTATCTCTGACAAATTTTATTGGAGGAACGACACCAATAATTTTTAACTGAGATAGTTCGTGTCGTAATTTGTATGCAGTTCCATTTAATATGTCAGTTATTTGATCTAAATTACCTGTATTATACGAATACCATAGCACTCTTACTATTTGAAAATCATTTGATATTTTTACTTGAGTGATTTCAATTCCAAGTCCTACTACATCTGCTGCTACTTCTCCAGTAGTCATTATATCTGTTATGTACTTCATAAAAAGTTTATTTAAAACTTTTACTCGTCGAGTGACATGTGGACTCACTAATTTTTGCGCAGAGCTTGGAAGTGATGAAGCTATTTTTTCACTTTTCTCAGGATACCATTTTCTAGAAAATTTTTAATGATGATTGAAGTGTTAAAAAATTTTTTAACATTTTTCAATAACTTAACGGTTTGAATTTAAAAATATTTAGTTTGTTAGTCAACCTACCTTTTTGGTAATTCATTTGAAACTATTTTTCTCATGAATTTACCTTCTCTGCTGGCGTAATTAAATGCTTTATTATTAACAGCAGTCGCATGAATATATCGATGAACACAGTAGCTCATTCGCGTAATATTCCTGTACATCAATGGCATTTTTACTTCGATTTTTGTACAGTAAAAATGCTATTGTTTTCCAATGATTTTCTAGAAAATAAAGAATAATTACATCGAGATGATTCTTTATCATTTTTGGTTTTAATCATTCACGTTCATGAGTTACCACATGTAAATTAAAATTTTTTTCAAAGGATCAAAAGAATCCTGAATTTTTCAATAAACTAGAATATTTTAAAATATTTCAAGAAATTTGAATAAATTAAAAAATTTTATAAATTAACTCAAAGTATTTTTAATGTTACTGGAAGCTCAAGAAAATATTGAAAATGTTTAAGAAATTTCTGGAAAAGAATTCCACTCCCAAAAAATTATCAATGTCAGTTTCGTAAAGAAAAAAAAATTATCCATACTCAACTAAGGAAATCGAAAATTACATATGAAAAAAAAAAAAAGTCTAGCAAAAATACATTTTGTTATTATGTAATTTGTTCATATGAAAAAAAAAAAAATAAAAAAATTTCTATTACTATTATTGGAAACTTTGTCTGTTATTTTCAATATTTTATTATGATAATCAAATCACAGATGAGTAATGAGTAAGGTTACTTCAAGTTACTGAACATTTTATGATAAAAAAAATTGAATTTAATCCAGTTAGTTTATAATTTAGTATTAAATTTATATGTAATTTTTACAATCGTACATTTGAAATTAAACTTTTGAATAAACTTACTAAAATAATTTTAAAAAGGCTGAATGTCACCATGCAATTTTATGGAGACTAAAATATAAAATTTATTTGTTTTCATTCTTATATGCGACAATATTTCTATTAAAGGCAAATTGCCGCCATCTTTATAAAAGTATAATCGCTGTTGGAGCCCGTAAATCTCTTTTTTTTTGTCCGGGAAAATTCAAATAAAAAAAAGTTCACTCAGTAGCCGCAATGAGAGTAGATTTCTCAAAATAACAAAAAACTTACAGGATTTATAAAATGAATACAATAGTTAAATTTCATCAGATACTTATAGAATAGTAAGTAATTTTAGGTCTAGGAGGATGGAGTTACATGAAAATTGAAGCTTATTTCACGAGCCTTCAAATGCAATTTATAGAAATTCGATAAGTTATTGCCTTAAAAAGTTATTTCAAGAAGAATCTCCGAAAATTTGACTCATCTTCAAACTTGACCTCAAGAATCGTCCGAGTAATAACTATGATGAGTTTCATTAGGATTCATTAAGAATTTATATGGACACGTCGTGATAAGTCGCGTCATATCGTGTAATATATAAGTATATATTAATATACATACACAAACTTTCCAACCATGTTTATTTTCTGAATCAGCTTAACGAGCTAAGCCGAAAAATAGCAAAACTTTTTCAAAAATTTCATCATAAAGACAAATGTAATAGATTTCTACGAAATCTCTAAAAATTAAACGTTATCAAAAAAAGCGAGTACATACAATTATATATAGGTCTAATCACGGAAATTCAAATTTGAAACTAATTTTGATGAATAAAATTACGTCCGAAATATACCTACTCTCAAAAGTTAAGGAAACGAAAAAAATTTCCAAATAGCATGTCCATCCAGTTTTCATTTCTTTTTTTAGGTAGATTTCTTTAGAAATCTATCTATTGTAGCCGGACTCATATCGTAATTTTTATAAAATTTTGTCATAGTATGTTCCATTTCATCAAGTAATATCGAAAAATGGCATTGGCTCAAAAGTTTATATATGTATTTATGTATGTATGTATATATATATATATATATCTATTTATTGTAGTTGGTCTCATATCGTTATTTGCAAAATTATGATAAAAAATACTTTTTAGGACATTATTGCCTTTTAATAACGTGTTTTTTTTAATATTCAAACGAGAAATCTAACATATAATTCGTCAAACGTTTAATATAAATATACTCTAGTTTTTTAACTTCCCGCTAAGAAAATTGAAAATTTTCAAAAATCGGGAAGTTATTGTTTCCACCCCCCAAGCGTCACATAAAAAACTGTTGACTTTTTGCTAAATTTTATTTAACAAGAAGTCAAAAATTAATAATTGTCAACTTAAATTCAACAAAATATTACCAAAAAAATTTTTGGGCCGCTTGGGCCCGTTTTTCGAAAATCGAGTTTTCATCAGATCTCGACGTTTTGAGGTCCTAGGAAGCTTTCCTGACTATTTCCGCGGTGATGTCACCGTGTCTGTATGTATGTATGCGTGTGTGTGTGTGGTTTTTTTTTTTTTTTTTATAGAGGAGGTAAAATACATTTACGTATGCCAGGACTTGGTGTTGGTGCCTGGGTATGTCGGACTCAGAAGTCAATATTATTTTGCAACAATACCGACTAAACATCCTCCTCTCTCCTTTCCCTAATATAGATGTTACAGGGAAGACTGGAACGGGACCGCGTAAGCATTACTTCAATCCAGTCCATGTTGTGTCTCATGACACCTACTTCTTGTTACTACTGGTTTCTAATCCCTTTCTGCGATTTTTTCTTTTAAAAGGCGCTGCGCGTAGGCTGCGACAGCTGACCAGTTTTCTTCTTTTTTGATCATGCAGGTTACCAAGCTCTCAGGGGAGAGCGTGGTGCCTATTGTTTCTTCGGTGCTGGTTCTGTCGTCCTTCCACCGATCACACTCAAAAAACGTGTGCTCGGCGTTGTCAATTTTGTCTGGGCAGTATTTGCACGTTGGTGTGCTGTGCAAACCCATCTTGAAAAGATACACTGAAAAAAAAGTTTTTTTTACCCGGAATACTGAATATTTTTTAGTCGAGTTTTCTTGTACGAAGTGAAAGTCAAGTTAAATATTTTAGATGCCCGTCTCTCCCGATGTCCATCGGTCCTGCCACTCTTGCTGCGTTCCCGCCTTTATCCTCGTTCTTGCGTCCTTCATGTTATCGTCACTATCTTTAGTGTCATAGAGTTTTGCTCTTTCGAACGCTAATAGGTCGATGGGCGCGGCTCTCGCAATGACCAATACAGCCGCTTCGGAAACTGTGCGGTAGGCGCAGGCAACCCTGAGAGCGCCTCGCCGCTGTACTGCTGCTATCTTTCGCCGGTAGGTCTTCTGCTTTAACATGTCTGCCCATATCTCCGCTCCATAAAGCAGTATCGAGTGGACTGCTTCTAGAAGAACTCTTCTCTTTTTTGTTCTTGGTCCCATGGTGTTGGTCATAATTCGTGCTAGGCTAGACTCAGTCTTGCTGGCTTTCTTGCATGCACTGTCGAGGTGTTCACGGAAAGATAGTTTCTCGTCTATCATTACCCCTAGATAGCGCAGGGCCCTTGTTGACGTGAGTGTTGTTCCTCCCATGTCCACAGCGAATGGTTTTGGGAATCATTTTTGACGTGTCAAAACGACCATCTCGGTTTTCTGTTTGGCGATGGTTTCCCGAACTAGCAGTTCGGCCTCTTCCACGCTGTCCGCCACTATAGTGGCTGCAACGTCGTCTGCAAAGCCTGTTAGGTCTACTTGCTCTGGCAACGGGATTTCAAGAAGCTCGTCGTAGTCTGCGTTCCATAGATCAGGCCCCATTATTGAGCCTTGCGGCACGCCAGCCGTTATGGCGTATTCTTGTGGGCCTTCAGTAGTTTCCACTGTTAGCTTTCTATCGTCAAGGTAGTTGTCGACTAGTGCCAGATTTTATGGCTCTGCGACAAACTTGTGCTCCAGAGCGTCTAAAATGTCTCCCCAATTTGCGCTGTTAAATGCGTTTTTGACATCTAGCGTGAGGAGAAGACATACTTTACGAGCTTTGAGGCTACTAGACCATGCTTGTGTTGCTGTCTTTATGACTTTCTTAATCGCTCCGACTGTCGAATGACCTTTCCGGAAGCCATGCTGGTTGGTGGCAAAACCTCTAGCACGGTCGATGTCGTCGCGAAGTCTCCCTTGTATGAGTTTCTCGAGCAGTTTTCCAGCAATGTCTAGCATATAGAGTGGTCTAAATGACGAAGGTGTTATGGGGGTTCCCTTACCTTTGTCTAAGAGTGAAGAGTGCCTTTCCTGTTTTGAGTGACTTGGCCGCGTCTTGTAGTTCCTTAGTTGTGAAGGGTGTTCCTTCGCTGTTTTTAGTGTAGTGTTTCTTCTCCCGCGACGGGTGTTTGGGGAAAAGCTCCGTTACAATGCTGTCCAAGCTGGAGACTTCGGCGCCTCTGGTGAAGCCTTTCCAAGTCGTTTGGCGACAATTTGGTAGGCTTTACCCCAGAGGTCATTGTCGAGATCATTGCAGATCTCTTTCCACAACTTCGCTTTACTTGCTTTGATGGCTCGGTTTAGCGTCTTTTTGGCCTGCTTGTACTCTTTTGAATACAAATCCTGGCTTGAGGAGCGTTTCGCGGCTCTCGCTGCGCGGCGACGTAGTTGATGGCATATTTTGCGAAGTTCTGCTATGTCCGTTGACCACCAGTACGCTGGCCTGTGGAAACTCCAGTTTTTCAACCGCGGCATATAGGCGTCACATGCGGCAGAAATCTCCTTCATCGTATGTAGCACTGCCTTTTCTGTCTCGCTGCAAGTATCCGGAATCGGGTTGTTCTGAAGGATAGACCAGCTCCGTGCAAGTGAAGCTCGCAGTGCCTCTGGATCAAGCTTCGTGACATTCCCCTTTCGCTTAGAAATGTCGTGTTCTGATACCGGAGCAGATGCCAATCCAACATTAAATGTCACGAACTGGTGATCACTGCCACTGTATTCTTCGGATACAGTCCAGTCTTCGATCATGATGGCAGTTCTTGGAGTCGCCAACGAAATGTCGAGGATGGATTCTTGGTACCCCGGTCTTCTGAAAGTCGTGGTGCTCCCAGTATTCAGCACTATGAGGTCGAGTCTAGCCGCGACGTCAGCGACCTCGTTGCCTCTGGTGTCGGAGAAAACAGCGCCCCATTCAGCCGATTTAGCATTGAAGTCACCAGCTACGATAACTTCACCGTCGAACTTAATGATCACATCCTCTATATTTGCCAGTTTCTGTCGGAACACACTAATCCCTTCGTTAGGTGAGAGATAGAC